CTCGTTTGCAGCGTAAAGGCTTTCTCTTAGAAAATGAACATTCACAAATGAAGATCAAATTGGCACATTGGATTTAATTAATCTCATAATACATAGTATTTATTCTCCTATGATTCATTAATTTCCGTGCCAGACCAGCATTTGGTGATTGGGGTAGTGTTTTATATTAAGAATTAGGGACCAAATTTTATTTTAGGTAATCGAGAGCAATAAAAGAAATCAAGTAAAAAAAAAACGAACACACAATTTATAAGGGTTCGTTTGGTAGATGGATCCAGAATCATGATTCTAGATTCTGATTCAGAATCAGTGTTTGTTTACAGTGATTTTGAATTATAATTCTGAATCAGTGTTTAGTTTGGATGATTCTGAATCATGATTCAAAATTTGATGTGATGTTTTAAATCAGAATCACTCATGATTCTAAAACCATCATCTCTTGATTCAAGATGATTCAAACTCCTGATTCAGAATCATGGTTTCAGAATCACGATTAAATTGAACCAAAAATCAAGAATCATGGTTCTGGTTCCAGAATCATAATTAAAATCACTCTAATTTAAATCCTCGTACTAAATGAACCCTAAATGTTCGTCTCAATATGAGACTACAAACACTTTCAACTGCTGCAATTTTTCACTATTAAGAAATTTATAAGAGAAAATTGCACACTTCAACACTTTCCGTGTTTTCTCTAACCTCTCTAATAACTTTATAAATTGGTACCCCTTTTATAATGAAAATTAGGACAACAAACTTTTACAAGTGTGAAATCTCCAAACTACTCTTAAATAAAATTTTTGATCCCAGGGCACAGCGTCACAACTTAACACTTCATAGAATGTCACATTTGTTAGTTAAGTACTGCTGATTGTGAAAATATAACGTCCTTAATTATTTCCCAAGCAAAACAAAAGAGGGACACTTGACGATGGTTTCAACTGAAACACAGTGTTGAGCTTAACTTGGTGGGCAATTAATATGCAGATTGGGCAACATGTCCTGATTATTGAAACCATTTAGTTCGCTGATTCGAGTTTTTAATTCGAATTGTGATGTGATTTTATATTAGAGTTTTTTACTGTAGTAAAAAAATTAAATGTGACTGTTTGTGAGAATTTTTTACTGTAGTAAAACTCGAATTTTAAATTCGAATCAGCGAAATAAACGATAGATAAGATCACTTCCAGTTGATAATTACGTGGAAAGGTCACTTAATCGGTGTCACTTATAAATCACTGTGTTACCTTATTCTAAAAACTTTTATAATCGATTTGCTCGTAAATTTTGTCTGTTCTTTACTTTTATGCGTTAGATATAGCAGATTGTTTTAACATTTTCGGTTTTTAGATTACAACTCTATCGGCCGAAGTTATCCTTCTGCTTGAGGGGGCGTGTGAAGAATGTTGATAGTGACAATTCATGCGATTAAGGTGAGAATTGCCGGCATGGAAAATACAACCCTTAGAAAGTTTTAGAGAATATTTGTTAGAATATGTTGGAATTTATTAGTAAGATCACACTAGTCCGTAAACGTGTGGTCTCATTGTAATAATCATTCATCTATGAATAAACTGGTCTTAAATCATTACTCTAAGAACCTTCACTCAATTTTCTTTTTATCAGTTCCCTCTTTTTTCTTTCATTATCTTCATTACATCTAATGCTGTTAATAAAATGTCCAGACATTCCTCAGTTAATGAGACGCGTAAATTGGAGATGAGTGAAACCAATGATTATAGGCACAAGATTAAAATATTCTTAAAAACAAGAGTCAACGATTTCACATATTGCTTTGAACTTTGTTTGTATATCTTAATATATAAATATATATATATATATGTGTGTGTGTATATATACACATATATATTAATGGATACCGTCAGATTAACATTATCTATGTGGTACACAGTCGATTAATGAGGTCGAATAATACTGGTCTTCCTCGGTGTGCAAACAGCAAAGTCATGAATACATGGTTAAACAATTATCCCTGAAAATATCAAAATTTAAAGAAGAAGAAAAAAAATTGAATCTTGGTCAAAGGTAAACCATGCTACCATTGAAAAAGCATCCATGGAAACTAGAAATAACTTGTGATTTTAGCTTCCAATAAACTTTTCATCGAGTTTAATTTATATGGTTAGTACATATTATTAATTAATTTTATGGTTTACCATTCAAATTTTTTTTTTTTCAAGGATTTATGTTCAAAAGTCTCCATATACAATTTGAAATAAGCCCTCAAATGTAATGGTCCTAATGGAGAATGGATTTCTTGGTGCTTTTAGCCAGTATATACATAATAAAATTAAGAAAATATGTCATCTATAGTGTAATACAAAAAAACAGGAGCATTATAAAATATTCAACATAAGTCACTATCCTATTACATAAAAGCAGTTCCATGCATGCAAATTAGAGTGTTAATACTGCAAGTTTTTGTCTAACATATATGGTAAAATCACACTTTATAATCCTCTTTAAAGATTCTCCAAATATTTTAATGAAAACTTTGCTTTATAAAAAATGTAAAAACTTGATCACTTCAAGAATAAAAAAGGGTTAATTTTAAAACCATTAAACCGACCGTTTTGGAGGATTTGGGCCAAAATAATAAATTAATTAGGAAATTGGATCTATGTTGTCTGAGAATAGTTTGACATTTGCTTGGGGGAATAAATAGTAATCATCTGACAGCTAAATTTGTCCGTCTCATTTTGTAGTTTGAGGGAATCGATAAAATATTGGTATCAATTTTAGGAATCTTTACCAAACGTCCACTTTTGTATTATGAAAAACTTCTCGTTTGTTATTTTATTTTATTTATGTTTTTGGCCAAGCATGGGAATTTTTATAGTAACAAGTTGCTTATCAGTAACGTTACATGGTACTTAAAAATACTGCTAAATGGCAGAGTAGGTCTGCAGGGCATAATGTCGTTGTGCGTTAGCGTCTACAACATTAACATCTAGAACAAGGATGTCATCAAACGTAAATTTGGTCAAATAAAACATGGTCCATGGAAGGTTTTGCCGTTTTGCTCCTTTTTTTTCCCTTTATATACATAAAAAATTTATAGCAATTAAGAAAATTATATTCTTATCACGTTATTAAATTTTTATATTTAATGATTAACTATTATGTAAAAATAACTATTAAAAATTCACCTATATATATTTATGAAATTTCATAATAAAATATGGATTAATATATTTTGCATTAAATATAATCTTTTGTATTAAATAAAATTTAATAATTTAACAGAACTCGTGACACTAAGCTTTGTTTGTCTTTTTAGGAATTAAACAAACAAATATTTTTTTACCATCTTTAGTACATTTGGAACATTTTTTTTTTCCTTTAATGAAACTCAAAGATGAGTTAAAACATACATAATATGTCAGAAATTTCAAAGCTAACCTCATCTGAAAGACTGAAACATAGGTATAGCTCGTTCTAATATATATATATATATATATATATATATATAGGTATAGCTCATGACCATTATTTTTTAGAACCCTCTTCGATACATTAACATATCAGTAGGTTAAGTTTTTTGTCCGTTAAATCCGCATAAAATCACGTAAAAATAAAAAAAAATACGCAAATCTAATAGTTAGAAAAACCCGACCTACTGATATGCTAAACGTACCAGAGAATCTCTCTTATTTTTTTTTATAAAAAAAAATATCACGTTAAAAATCTTTGGACGGAAAAAAAAAAAACAAATAAAGGGTTTGAATTCCAGTTCTCGGAGAATCTCATAAAATCTCCTTGAATTTTCCTAGGTTCCAATTTTTGTGGCTAAGTAATACATAAATGGAGGATTAGAGAATCTTGAATCAAGTTGCAACCAAGTAAGAGTTGCCAACTAGTTTTGAACTGGAGTTTTTGGGTGTTGATAGTGAAAAAGAAATGCCGTTTCCCTCTCTCTTTTTCATTATTTTTAGACCACAGGATGTCCCATAAAAGTCATGAACACCTTATGAGGTTGCCCATGGATTATCCTTCTGCCAACTATTTACAGGTTGTTATAAGTTGGGTTGTTTTTTAAGAAACTTGACAAAAATGTTTTATCTTTTTTTTTTTTTCCCCCTTTTTCAAAAGGCATTTGTTATAAGTTTTGTTCAAATTATGTGCTTTTTGTGTTTTGTTTTTAATTTGAAATTAATATATATTTTAGATTAGGGCAGTTTCAAATACCAATAGTGATCGATATAGCCTCAAACTATAAGAAACCTACAAGTTCAATTGATTCCATTAGTAAACTCGAATAAAAGTCTTCACAGAAAATAGACGTGTAGTGAGGTCCGAAATTAGACACCAAAATGACAATCAAGCACACATATATCTCTTTAATAAAACCTAAATGGGCGGTTAAAAATCGATCTACCGAAATCGAGAAACACCTAACACAAACTCTACAAAAAATACTATTAAAAAACAAAAATCGCGGACTAAAAGCACAATGTAATACAAGAAAACGAGACAAACACGCTACTAAATTGGAGGTTAAAACCATCAGTATTACAAACCAAAACATAGAGAGAAACTAAAGAAAAATCCAAAGCACCACAAATCACAAAGTCCCCTGATGAGACGACAGATAGAGAGAAAAAAGAGAGAAAAAAAGATCCTAGAGGGAAAGAAAAAAAAAAAGGAAAAAAAATAAAAAAGTAAAATTGAAAAAAAAAAAAAAAATAGAACATAAAAAGGCATATTAATTTCTATATATTGGTAAATTGATTATACAATATCATAAGTTTTAGATGGTATTTTTTACAATTTCCCTTTTAACAAAACACATTTTCTTAAGTTTTGACCGGTCCTCTCTAAGGGCAACATTATGACGACTCCTATTGGAGGGGCAGAATTCTAACCATGCCTCATCAAAAAAGACATTCCATAAAATAAAAAACAAAATTCTATTTTTCAAAAACAAACGGAAAAAAAAGAAGAAAATAATAAAATTATAAAGCAAGAAGAAACCGGGAAAGGAACTCAATTGTCTACAATTGAATATTGTAACATATGTAAAATAGTGTTTATTTGATCCCGAAAGAAGAAGGAAAAACCAACATTTTGCTTTGTTTTCCAACATTTTGCTTTGTAGATCAACTAAGCTCTAACATTCTAGTCTAATTCTGAGTTTCCGACTCTCTTCTCTCAATCATCTTGATAAAATTGCGGACCATTCCCTTGCCTTCAGTGGTGATTATACTTTCTGGATGGAACTGAACCCCCTGCAATTTTTCAATTCATTTTGATTATGGACTTAAAGAAATCATTAAGTTGAGTTATTTAACTTAAAATTAATCTAAATTACTATATGATACTTCAAGTTAAAACGGTTCACCAAAGCATAAGCTTTGGAGGTATGCCAATTAGACTTCAGTGTCACATGCATAAGCTTACTAAATTACAGCACATTTTTATTGCCTCATTTTGCTTAAGATGCCTATACAATGTAAATTGTTAGGGGTAAAAAAATCTGGGACACGAGTAATTTTGGTTTTATAGATTCCACATTATTTTAACATGTATGCATTCATGATGTTTGTGTTAAAAATTTTCATCATTTGTGCATTACTCTAACCATTGTCCCTATATATATATATATGTGTGTGTGTGTGTGTGTGTATATATATATATATATTTGTTGTGACCTCCAAACTAATTAAGGGATTTAGCCCTCTTCAAGGTGGGAACCATAGGCCCACAGGGTATTAACAAAAAAAAGGAAAGAAAAAAAATCCATAAACCAGGTTATGATAAAACCAGGATTCAATCTCTAGTCCATATTATACACCGAGAGGCTTGACAAACTGTGTTAGCAAGTCCTTTAAATATAAAATCACGAAAATACGTACAGGGGGTCAAAATTCAATGTACTTGTCTCAAACATGTCTTTAAGTCAAATGGTGATCATAATTTACTGATAGTATTCTTCACCCCTATCTCATAATCCCTCAAATTATGACATCCATCTAATGTTCTTAATCATTACGGCGGATTCTTTATTAGGGAAAAAAAATAAAAAACAACTGATCAGAATACGGTTTAGTATTTGATATGCAGGATAAAAAATGAATTTCTAAACAAAAGAAGGAAGAAATTTCCATTAATAAGTTTCTAGAGTTTTATCTTGTTTTTTTTTTTTGACACCCAAAATCCATGAAAATTTACTCCCTTTTCCACACTGGTTCTACCAGATTGAGACAAAACAAGTCGTAAACTTAAAAAGTTTCACGACCATTCTTCTGCCTAGTCTAATGTCATGACCACTCCTTTCCATGTATTACACGAGCAAGCTGCTAAGTTATTTTTTCATGAGACTTGAGAGAGAGATTTACCATGTGGAATTTTATTATTTTTTCATGAGACTTGAGAGAGAGATTTACCATGTGGAATTTTAGCTGATAGCATATTTGATTCTTTCGAGGCAGTTACCGATGTCTAAGTGAAGAAAGGAGGATTATCTCTTACCTGTAGATACCGATATTTTTTGTGACGAGCAGCCATTACTAGTCCATCTTCCGTCCATGCTGTAATCTCAAGTTCGTCATGAGGAAAAGTGTCCTTGTCAATCACAAGACTGTGGTATCTGCCAGCAGTGAAAGGACTGGGAAAGCACAAAGATACATTCACAATCATAAATTGGCGTCAAAATTAAAACTGCCAAGAGGAATTTAAGGACAATAGTAACAGAATACAGAAGAAGAATTTTTCACCAATGTATACACAACTGAGTGAAGGTAAAGCTCCTCCACAGGAAAGAGTTATGATTGCATAGGATAAAATGTAGCTACAAAAATAATTTAACCGGTCACTTCATAGAAAAACTGAGTGGAAACATCGCAAATTGCAATCCTATCTGTAATGGCAATATTAATCTAAGGCATCAAGTAAATTCCTAACAAACTTTATAGCTTAAAATTCCAAGAGTATCATTACAAGATGTTTTGAAAAATTGCTTGCACAGTTTTAGAGAGTGGAATTGAATACAAGATTCATATATATATATATATAGACACACACACACACATATACACATCACACGTGCATGAGAGAGAGAGAGAGAGAGAGAGACTTGGAGTTGGAAAAACTGGTAATGGCGTTACAATTATTTTGTTTATGCATACTACTATTAGCACTTCCTATTATCATATAAGATATGCAATACACGTCCCAACAGAAAACAGGAAGGTTGATAACAATGCAGCACGATTCATTTCCCAGAACCCAAACCATATTTACACGGTTTTACTATGTCAAAGAATCTTCTGATGTCTGAACATTGCTAATGATGATTGAGTGCATATGTTAGGTATTCGTGGACACCGAAGGATGTGTCTGACTTTTAATAACTAGTCTGCCCTGGCAGTCAAAAGTTTATTATTAGAGATCGAGTAAATATGATGTTTGCTGCTTTTCACTTTTTGCAAACAAAAAATTCTTATTAGTGATAGATTGAACAAAATAGGTGCATACAACAAATGACAAAATGAAGATAAATGCACTAAAGGATGTGCTGAAACACATTTAGGCACATGAGAATGGCACGGTTTGTTTGCAATGCATACAAGAAACTAAACTCGAACATATTCAAATCTTACTTTTCCAAAAAGATTATAGCATTTAAAAAAAATGGAAATACTTTCTAAAAATTATGAAACCTTGATATCTTACAAAGATAACATAAAAGGTGGTACTTCGAGGAGTTATTTACCATTGAATAAAGAATTACCAAGACAGACATGTTTTTCTTGATAACTGTAGAAGAGTGAATAGAAATTTGGGAAAAAGCAGATGCTTACTTTGATAGTCCAGAGAACAAACCATCTTCACCCTTCTCATCATAATATACAAGAGAGCTTTTCCCATGCATGACGCCATAAGGAGATCTCACAATCTTCCCTGTAACACCGAAGTCATGTGCATTGAGTACCCAGAAACAAGCACTTTAGTAGCATAGCCGATAGAGAAAACTAACTAACTGATGGTTAATATCTTTGAAGAAGATACCTCCAAAAGCCTCTCCAATGCATTGCAAACCCATACATACACCAAACAAAGGTACAGTTGGTCCAAGCTCCAAAACTGTTTGCAATGAAATTCCTGAATCTTGGGGAGTACCTAAGAATTAAGATGAGAAAACGTGATGCTTTACTATCTTTACGACTCTACTCCTTATCTTAAAAACTTCTTCTTCATCATGTCTCACAGAAAATAAAACAAGCGTGTAATCCTTACCTGGTCCTGGTGAGATAAGCACTCCTCTAGGATTTTTCCTGTAATAAATGTAGAAAAATTCCGACATCAAAAGTGACTATTAAATCAAATACCGTAAAAAGAGGGTGTCTATGCTCTGTGATTACCCTTCAGTCCCTCAAAAGACATTTATATTGTATGTAAAGGCTAGAAAACAATCATGTTTTGCTAAATCATGAAATTTTACCTTTTTAGCTCTTCGACAGTTAGTTCATCATTCCGATAAACTTCAAAATGACAACCCAGCTCTCCCATATACTTCACATCACACCAAAGACATCAGAAAAACAGCTTTATTATAAACGAAGGTTAATAAACCAAAACATTAAAGAACAGAGGGAATAACATGCAAAAGTGACTTCGAACAAAATGTTTTTCAGAATGTTGTGCACATAACTGACATTTTGAGGAACTTGTTCCCCATTCTAAAAGAAGGGATCCTTCAAAACTAAAAAGAATGGCATCCCATTCTACGAAAAGTTTATCCAATAAGAAAAATAGATCTTTTTTCCTGGAAGCATTAATTATTACATAAAAGTTTAATCATGCTAAAGACAATCTCAAGTGAAGGAATGTTCAAGAAAAAGCCCCTTATTATTTGCTCTGGTTTCTTTTTTAACTGAAAATGAGAAAACTGGGGGATCTTATGTTATGTATTCTTTTTTAAAAACTAGTTTGATGTCATTTGTCAATGTTTGTTTCTGGTTCAGTACTGGCTGTTCTATTTAATTCCATGCTTTATGTTATATTTTATATTAAAAACACAAATGGTTCCATTTTATAACTTTTATTCACTAAGAACATGTCCTGAACTAGTTCTGACATCCACATTCAGTTTTAAGTAGGAGCAACATAATAGGTCGATATAATTTAAAACATATAGTTCTAATCATTGTATTTCTTAAAAGAGATAAGGAAAAGAAATAAAGAAATAAAAAGAAATCTGTGCGGTTAATAAGATTCTAATTCCCGTTTCTAATAAAATATTGTGTCCATGAAACTTTAATATGCTGATATCCAGCAGAGTTTGACTCCGATAACTAACTTTGGCAATGCCATAACAGGCATAGACATAGGGGCAAAAAAAGTGCTTCAAAAACAATTATCGTGTCGTAAACAACAAAGGAGGCCCTTGACTGTTAGGAACCCAACAAAGCACTAAAAAACAGGAATAGAGAACATGTGAAAATTGATGCGAGTCCGACAAAACCGCAAAATCATTGTTTCCTTAAAAAAATACAGCAAACCTCATATACGGTCTACCCTGAAGTTGCTAAGTCGTTTTTCTTTGGCTGATAGCAATTTATGACCTTTCAAAGTTGCCCACATTCTTCCATTGTGACTGAATTCGATTCTTAATAACATAAACTGAATGCTGAATAACCTCTCACTTACTACCACCCACTTAGCCCATTTCTGTTAATCTTATGTTATTCAATTACATTCAATCTTCACAATTTTTGAATTCTCGTGATCATGATTTTTATTTTATTTTTTTCACTTTCCCCATGTTCGAGGGAAAATAATAATGGTGCATAGAGTAAATCATATCTAAGAATGCATCCAACGTTAAAAGAGAAATATTGACTAGTTCTAATAGCTGTGTACAAGCTATCTTCTATCACATGCAAGATATGAAAGTGTAAAAGCAGTACCTTTATAATCATGTTCAAAGTTTTTTTTTTTTTTTTTTTTTTTAAATCTACAAAAATTATGCAAATGATAAAACTATGTTGAATTCCGTCTTACCACTTGCAAATCCCAAACAGATTAATTATCTGCCAAGTTAACGGATTATCATTCAATTCTACAATAAGCCAAAACATTAATGTTTACGCCTACATGTTTAACCCCAATTTCTCAGCAATTTTTATCAGGGAGAAAAATTATCAAAATACATCAACAAACAAGGAGAAACAGCCCTAGATAACAAGATTGCCCACCACATAGAACTGACAAAATTAAGACAATGGCCTTGTTTGATATCAAAATAAAAGGCAAACGAAGGCAACATGCAAAACGGTTTTTCCAGATCCCAATATTTTTCTTAATTTTCTCAGCAACCAAACGTCAAGTGGAAACACAAAAAAAAAAAAAAAAAAAAAAAAAAAATCAATACACCAGAAATAAATGAATATATAAGAAGTTGACGCACAAAATTAAAAATAAAAATACAAATAAATGAAACTTTCAGTTGAGAAGAAACAAGTAATTACCTGGCAAAGATTGTAGGTGAAGCTGTCATAATTGTCGATCACAATTACGGGACTTTTCACCTTCTTGTCGGAAACCGGGGACTTCAAGCTCGATTCCGAGACCGCCATTGAAGCTTTTGCCGCAAACCCATTTCCCAACTTGACCCCAAAACTAAGTTCTGCACAAAAAAAAAAAAAAAGAATCAGAAGAAGATGAAGAAGTTTGCATCAGAAGAAGATATCAAGGGAAAAACATGAAAGGCTTGGGAAAATACGTGATGGGGAAGGCCTTGAGGGGAAAGTTGGGAAAGGGCGTTGAAGGGTTTTGGAAGAAAAAGAGGTCTTTGGTTGACTGATAATGGTGGCCAGAGAGACCATTTTTGTAGCGGCCATGGCTTCACAGTTCACAGCTTGAGAGAGAGGGGGAGAGATATGGAGGCGTTATGTTATGTTGTATTCTGTCTGCACAGGAGTTTTATAGACAAAAAGATCTCCATGTTGGCAACTGACGTGGCCTCCCACGCCACGTGGATCAGGATTTGGTATCATCTTCTCATCTCAACTATTTTTTTTTTTCCTTTTTTTTCTTTTTTTGGATAAAGAGGGAACTAGCATAATTAGAAGTGATTAATAAATTATAAAAAATAGTAAATTATAGCATAATTTAATATTTTAAGTTTTAAATATTATTAAACACTTAAAAATACCTTTAAATCTCATTTTTCACCTCACTTTTCTCTTTAAATATCTATTTTTTAAAACATAGTAAATTATAACATATTTTTTTAAAATAAGTAGATTATAGTCAAGTCCACCATAGTCGGGACCGGCGGCCGGCTCCTGCGACCGGTGACCATTTTCTGGCAATTTGTGACCGTTTTTCGGCGATCAATGACTATTTTCCAGCAACTGTTTAACACTGTATTTAATAGTAAATATCATATTTACAATTTAATACTGTATTTACTAGTAAATACATTATTTGTTCAAAAAGTTGACTGCCAAATTCGGCGACCGTTTAATGCTGTATTTATAGGTAAATTCACATTTACCAATAAATACCATATTTACTAATAAATATCATATTTACTCAAAAATCCGGTCACCGACTTCGGTAACCGTTTAACAATGTATTTACAAGTGAATATCGCATTTACTAGTAAATATTATATTTATCTGAAAATTCAAGTATCGATTATGGCCACCATTTAACACTGTATTTACTAGAAATACGGTATTTACCAGTAAATACCGTAATTACCAGTAAATATCGTATTGCCAGTAAATATCATATTTATCTAAAAATCTAACAACCAACTCCGGCGACCGTTTAATACTGTATTTACTAATAAATATCATATTTATCTAAAAATTCAGACATTGACTCCGGCAATCGTTTAATACTGTATTTACCTTTAAATACCGTATTTACTAATAAATATCATATTTATCAGAAAATTTGGCCACCAAATCAGGCGATCGTTTAACACTGTATTTACCAATAAATACCATATAATGAGTAAGTACTGTATTTATTAGTAAATATCATATTTAGCTGAAAAATCTAAATACTATATTTACTAGATATCATATTTACTAGATTTTAAATAAAAAAAAATCCAAAACCTCTCTTTACCGGCTTTGGAAACCAAATTACAATATATATTTTTTTTCTGAAAATTACAATAAGAAACCAAAAAAAATGAAGTAATAAACACAAAATTAAAAAATAAATCCAACAAAAATCAACAATATATATACACTTTTAATTACGTCTTTCAGATCTTCTAGTTTGGCTTTTGTTTGTAGTAATCTTCATATCCGGCCAGTTATCTAACGCCACAAGAATCAACAATCAAGTTTTCAAATTCAAGCCAAAGCCAGAGCTTTCCAGTCACTTTTTGGATTATTTGCCCAAAAGAATACCAATACCATCTTCTGGTCCTTCAAGAAAATATAACGGCAATGGCTTGCAGAGTTGGAGACCATCACCATGAATATATATGTGTGTGTGTGTGTGTTTTATCAACATCACAACTACTTTTTTTGTTTAGACGTACTAGAGATCCCAAGGTCGGAAATCTCCAAACTCCGTCGCGAGGCCGTAAATCTCCAAACGCCGTTGGGAGGTTGGAGAGGGAGGGAGAGAGAGAAAGAGATCACGACACCGAACACAATGTCGCACCGACGGCGAATCACAGCTCCGTCGCTGGTGGTGGCCGTCGGATTCGGTCTTCGGCGGCGAGAGAAGTGAAGAGAGAGCCTGAGAAAGCGCGATTTTTGAGTGAATTAATTATGATATAGGACTCGTTTATTTCACCGATTTGAGTTTCAGTTTTAAGTTTTTACAGTAAAAAGTTCTCAAAAAATGTCACATCTAACTTTTTCTGCTACAATGAAAAGCTCTCAGAAAATGTCACATCTCATCTCGAATTAAAAACTTAAATCTGCGAAGTGAACGGGACCATAATTTATCATGTTTTTAAAAATATACTATTTACTTTAAAAGCACCTCTAAAATATGTTATTTAGTATATTTTATGTTTTTTTTTTTACTCATCCATCCATCCATAAAAGAATTCAAACCAGCAAAACGAACAAGGTCTTTTTGTTTAGTCCATTAGATTTGAATAGAAAATTTAGCATAAATTTAAATTTTTATGATAAAAAAATATTATAATTAAAAGGTTTGAATTGTGACCAAATTTATGAACCAAATAGAGGAATTCATACGTAAAAATGGTAGTTAAGATTTTGGATCATTTGTGATAATTACTTCAAAATTCATTTACATTTTTACCTTATTTAATGGAAATACAACTTTTCTATAAAAAAAATGATGAAGATAAACTCAAAACAATTTACCAGAAAAGGGTGGTCATATAAGGTATAAAATCAAAACACAACAGTCTGTCATAAGGGTGGTCCTATATAAAGTATAAAATCAAAACACAAAACAGTCTGTAATACCCTTTTTGGTGCATAATGTTATGGATTTGAGAAGAAATTTACCTGTGAATCCAATGAGATTTAATGTTTACTGTGTATGTTGGATGTCTTATTAATGCAAATTGTTGCACAGATTTGAAAAATATTTAATTAGAATCCATCTTTTTTTTTCTTTTGGGTGGAAAAATTAGAACCCATTTAGCAAAATAGGATTTTTAACACAATTATCGCTTAAATTTATCGACGTCTAATAATTTACCCTAAATTTTTAAACTGTTGCAATTAGAGTCATTTGACAAACGACCATTAAACTGAAAATGGAATTAGAGACGTGAGGCGCACATGTGGATTTTAAAGGGGTATTTTTGGTCCAAAAAAAAAAAAAGAGAAGTACTTCCCTCGTGTGCTCTCCTCTCTCAACCCAATCTATCTCTTTCTCAACTACACAAAACAAAAATTTACCATTTTTCCTTATTTCACCACAAAAAGAAATGAGACAAAAATAAGCGAAAAATCTGCTTTAATAAAAGCATGCATCAAGGTGAAGTTCTCCTTTCTATTGAACACAGGCAGGTTTTAACATGCTAGCACCAAGAAATCAGAGCAAATCAAACAAATCATTTGGAATTCTCTCCTCTTTGGCAAAAGAACAAATTTGTTTCTCCTTCAAGTTATTTTAACAACAACAACCAGATTCCTAAAAAATTAGACAAAATTATGACACTATCGACATTTGTCAAGTTCAGGAGGTAAATTGTCAAAATTAAATATTTAGGAGGCAAATCACTAAACGTCGAAGACAAGTTCAAGGGAAAATTATGCTAAAAATTCTGTAAAATAATTCACCATCCACATTCCATTTTTAATTAATATATTTTATCCCAAGTCAAAATAAAACTAGCTAGAGTCCTGAGCATATATTAGTAGTAGTACTAATACTAATACTAATACTAATAATAATAATAATAATACTAATAATAATAATAATAATAATAATAATAATAATAATAGTAACAATAATAAAACTAGTTAGAGCATGGGCTACTGAACTTCACTCTCAAAGATAAGATAAGATAAACTCTCATATGAACTCTCTGAAATTAATCACAGACATAATAAGCAACAAAATTTTGAAGACACAAAATTAACTATAGTCCACTTTAAAAATGAGAGCTACTTAACCTACATTCATTGTAATTGTTAAGTTCGCTATGACAGAAAGAGATTAATACAAAAAGAGTTTGAGAGCACATAGCAATTAGGGCTTTCTACCAACATAGACTATTTATACCCTTATAAATAATTATAAACTTGATAAATATATTTTGGAATTATTTCTTAATCAGCTAATCTCCGAAAAAACCTTATCTCCAGTTGAATTTGAACAAAAACCCTTGTGAATGAATGTATTGTAATTTTAAAGATCTAATCCTTGTCTCTTTAATGTTAATTTTATGGTGCTTAGCTCGACTGTCAACATGATCAATAGAATATTTATTTATTTATTTTAAGAAATGGAGAAATTAAAATCTAAATTACGGAAATACAACCGCTAATATAGACATAAACGATCCTAAAACACAATGAGTCTTAGCCCTGAACATTAACCAAATTCAATAATAAATTTGATTGAAATGCTTAGGGGGTAGAAACATGCACCAAGTTTCGACATCAGAAAACTCAATAGGCACACTAAATATCGAACACATACAAGGCTCTTTCAGTAAGATTACTATGGTTGATGGAAAAATTTGACTGACTGATATTAAAAAACCTATAGCACTAATGCCACCAATAACACCGCATAGAAACAAATTTAGTGGACTAAATGCACAATCTATACCGAACGGCGGAGAAATGACTTTCGTTATTACAAAACAAAATAATACAGTGACAAGAGGACCATAGCCCCTACATTGCAAGCCCATCCAAACTCTCCCAACAGCTCTGACATCCAGTCCCAACTTGAACTCAAACTCACCCTAAAACTCCACCATCATCCGAGCAGCTACGCGTCCTAAGACCCACCTACCAGGGCCGGGAATTCGGTGACACATGCAAAGATGGTGCTGGACTTGAGCCCTCCCAAACGAACTAGTTGTAGTGCACAAAGAAGAAAGGGCAAAACCTAGAGAACGAGGAGGGGTCGAGAGCTCTTTTATCACTAAACTTGTTATTTTCACTAGAATATTTATGGAGTCAAGCTCAAAACAATCAAGAAGAAATGTAACAGAAACCATGTGATCGATGTTGGCTTTAAATCGCCATATATTCAAAATAATGAATGTAAGAAGAATCATATTTAAATGCAAAATAATTTTTATATTACTAAAAATAATGTTATTAGTTTGCCTCATAAGCCAAATACCATATTTGCAAATCATAATCAACCATATTAAACAATGTCAGCGATCTATTTTTGCTTCTGTCAAAGTGCTAAGTATTGTCCAATATATAATTTGTTGTGGTACAGATAATAAGAT